TATAACAAATGTGTACATAAGTTATTGTAATTTTATATATGGATTAATATGGTAAAAGTAATACATTTTATTTGAAATATATATATATAATATTTTTTGTTTGCAACAACAACATTTTAATTACTAAATATTAATAAATAAAACAAAATACCCAAGAGTAAGTTAGATGACGTGTGTCACACTCGTCAAATGTATCAAAAGGGTACGAAAGGATTAATTAATGCCTACGGGAATTCAGGAGATGAACAAATAACAATTTGATAAGGAAGTTTCAAAAGGAACCACACGTCGTCACTGTGATGAAATCGACCAAAGTAACAAACGAACCGAACCACCCCCTTACTGATGTGAATATTTGCTATATGAAGTTTCAACGTAGGTATTGTATATTGAAAAAGGTACACACACACACACACACACGTCCAATATGCTTTGTGCCAAGAAACACCTCGAGGCTATGAAGCCTCCTCTACCATTTCCTCCTTTCCCACTAAAACCCCTACGGTGTCCTATAAAGCAAAAGAGATACTATAAGAGAAACAGAAACAGAAATGGACAAACAGAGAATGAAAAAAAAAACGATGAGAAAAAGATAAAGAAAGAGAGAGAGAGAGAGAATATTTCTAGTTAAGATCCTCGTGTGTTCGAAGGACTATTCGCAAGGACTATTCACAAGGACCTTCTATGCGCAATCCGAAAACTCTCATCGACGTTAGTTTAGTTTAAGGGGCATCAAAAAGAGACGAGAATAGGAGATGGATAGATGGATATATATATATATATATATATAGATATAGTTAAAGAAAGATGAAGAGAGAGAGAGAGAGAGAGGAAAAACGACTGATGTTTACTCAACTCAAATGTTGACCAAGCCACCCCCCCTTCTCGTCCTCGTGCACTTTCTCTAGGACCGGTCCCATATCCTGCTTTCAGATGAACCTCCCTCTGAGAATGTGCAGGGTGAAGGTGAGGGGTGCTTTGGTTGAAATTCATCGTCAAAGGAGAATAAGACAAAAATGATGTTCATACTTGAAGATAAAGAACATCGATGGTTATTATTATTATTATTACTATTGTTATTATTATTATTATTTCAAGTATAGATATATATCTCATTTTTGAGTATCATATGAGTGGTTATGTGTTAATTATAATAGTAAATGTAATTAATTAATGAACATGTTCTGTGTGCTAAGCCCTTTTTACTTGACTTGTCATTCAGGCCATTTCATTTTGCTTTAATAATATTAATTATTATATGTAATTATTTCATTATTGTTAATATAATAATTAAACAAAGTTATATGCTTTGTTCTACTGTTACTGTGTCACACTGGCTTTGCATTACTGCATTTTGTATAATGCATTAATAATTTAATAGAAATATTTTTTTTTACAGAATTACATTTGTTATGAATATATATTTTTAATGCATTTTGTATAATGCATCGATAATTTAATAGAAATATTTTTTTTTTTTACAGAATTACATTTATTATAAACATATATTTTTAATGCATGAAATAAATATGTACATATAATGATAAGTGTACCACCGGTGGTACACGTGGCTTGAATAATAAGTTTAACGTGTATCACCGGTGATACACGTGGCAAGGAACGTGTTAATTAATTAACAAAAGAAAAAGAAAAAAAGGAAAAAACGTAACTCTGACGCGCCAATATAATGTCAAAATCAAAATAATTATTTAATATAAATCCGTTTGAAAAGATACGAAATGACCACCATCGTGTTAATGAATATCAAGTATCATTAGAAAGTTGAATAATGGACCAGTAAACAAATGATCTGAATAATAACAAAAAACATAATGCATAATAATCTATTATCTGATATAATAAACAATTGATATTATTCAATTACACTCAGGAAGCTATACAAAAAAAAAAACAACAAATAAATAATTGACATCAAATGAACATCACGAGAGAAGCATTTGATGAATTATTTAATATAACGGGTGATTAAATGAAATAACATCAATCATTTATTTATATATATCATAAAAATTATTCTTAGAGACAAATGGTCAAACGGACAAATGGAAGATTGGAAGTAACAATTAAAAAAAAAACACACACACACATACACACACAAAACTAAGAAAAAGAAATAAAAATATAGATAAATAAAGATAAACGTATTTAAGATAAATTATCTATCCCTTTCTTTAGGGTTTTACCTTTGAACGCGTTAATTCGTCGCGGTGATTATGGATCCATTAGCGTGGCAGTCAACAAATAGCATGGTACAATCCAATAACCGTCGCAACCCATAATAAAAGGGAAGACAGTTTAGGCACCAGTCAGGGGTAGTTTAACTTGCTGTTAGTTACTATACGTTTCACACTAACACATTATCGTGACAGTATATTATTAGTTATATGTATATATATATATATATATGAGTTAAAAAGAGAGAAGAATCCTTTTGATTCCACCTGCTAAATTTGTAATTCATTTCAAAGTTCATCATTTTTATATTTAATTGTATCTAAAGTTTACTATACATATTTAATTTACCAAAACAAAACCCCAAAAAAAAGAATGTGTTTAAAGAGAATAAAAATAAAATTGAGAAAAACCATAATGATATATCGATGAAAGAAAATATTTGATAACATTTAACGTGGGCCACATTGTATATTACATGTGTGTGTGTGTGTGTATATTAAACTATATAGGGGTGGTTAAACACCCCCGCATGACCAAGCAGATAGCAATCATTGCGTTCAGTGTCACATCAATGTAATATCCTGCACACTTCCATCACCACCAACACCACCATTACTTACCCCATATTCTTTTTATAAATGAAGAATAAGGGTATGGGAAATGAAACGGGGTAGGAGATTTTTCTTTTTTTTTGTTTTTCCTAAAGGATAGAAAAAGATGACACATAAGGAGGGATGGTTAGAATACGTTTAAGTAAGAAGTAATGGTAAAGTGTGTGCGAGTCGTTTTTCAAGAGCAAGGCGCACTTGGCGCATTTTGGGTTGACGATGGTGAACAACCAACGAACGGGGTAAATGGAAAGAAAAGAAAAAAAAGAAGGGGTTGAAGATTGGAAGGGTGAGGGTGAATTTAAAAGCTTCGTGTCTTTCTCTATGACTTTTGGCTAAAGACCGAACACCATTGATGTGAGGGGTATATCCTGTGTTGATTAGCGTATCTCTTCTATTTTTTTGATGGTTTTTTCATTTTATTGAATAAAAAAAAAAGTAATTATAATTAATATTATTATTAATATAAATTTTAATATCATAAATATTATTTAATATTTTCAATTGAAAATAAATAATTTGATATATATATATATATATATATATATATATCATATTATCAATATATCAAATTATTTATTTTTATTATATTTAATATATTATTTATACTAAAAGTTATATACCATATATATATTTATAATATTAAACATCTTAAAAAAAAAAAAAAATGAAATTCGAGATGAAGGATATTTCGATATAATTTTTGTTCCCTTTTTTTAAAATATCCTACCTCCTCCTCCTCCTCCTACCCCCTATCCTCCATCCTTATGTAATATTATTTTTTTAAATTTATTATTAAATTTTATGTTTATCTTTTTTCGAGTTTTATTTATTTTTTTTTATTCGTTCATGTAATCAAGAGGATTATTATTCAAGGGAAACAATCAACGCAAGGATCACGAGACACACACGTTTCGCATGTCGATTTACAATGAAACCAGCCTCGACGATAATTAACGCTTCGTCCATGTAGGTCTTTATCTAAAATGCATGGTCGAAGCTTTTAGACCATCACCCTTTCTATTCTTTCCTCTACACCCCCTTTACCACCTCCCATTTCCTCTTACCCCTTTACACTGTCGTTTGAATAACGCTAGTCGACACCGATCGACTATTTCGTCTGTATCTGTGTCTGTGTATCTGTATCTGTGTGTGTGTGTGTGTATGTGTTTTTTTTCTAGTCTTCTACCCCCACATTACACGATATTTCAATTATTTCGTTTTATAAATTTTTGACAATAACTAGTATTTTTATTGTTAGTATTTGTCATATATGGTATTACTTTTAATATAAATAATATATTAAATATAATAAAAATAAATAATTCGATATATATATATATTTAATAAGATAATATTTTTTAAAGATATAAATATTGTATATAATGACTAAATTATATTTAAATTGTTCAAATTGATAAATTTGTTTGAAAAGCGTAGAGAACTGGAATAGAACAAATATATATTTTTTTTTTTCAAATACAGAAGCTATAAAAAAAATAGAAAGGATTTTATTTATATAATATTATTATAATTTTATTATAATTAATTATTTATGGTATATTACAAAATCCAATGTTTTTAATTTGTAATCCCGAATGAATTTCACACACACACACACACACATTGTATGTTTTAAATATCGAATATATAAAATGTAATTACATATAATTATTGATGAAAATATAAAAAAAAAATATATATTTAAAAATGAATATAAAATCTAATGAGTTTTAATATACACACATATGTATATATAAAAGATTATTAATAAAATATAAAATCCTTTGTGACTTTCATTTGACAAAAAAGCTTGCTTGCACACAAAGCTTCTTTTTTTTTTTTTGTTTTATGAAATAAAAATCATGTAACCAAATGAAATGTAATATTCATGTAAATCATTATAGAGTTGGTTTCCCACGTTGATCGTGTTAAACTTCATTCCATCCAGTACTTTTGTATTAAATTGACGATGCGTTATTTCCACCGATGTGTGAGTGACAGGGTGAAGGGTGGAAATGAACGTAGGGGGGTGGCTATGAAACATGCGTTCAGTTGTTCACAAATTGTATATTTCAATTCATAAATAATATACAAACATAAATTTGAATTGGTCCTTTTTGTAATGTTAATAATAATAACAAATTAAAAAGATATGATTTTAAAATTCTGTCAATTATAATTGTATAATTTTAGGACAAGCAATCCATCAATCAACTAATTATTATGGAAGAGAGATTGGTTCGTTCGCAAGCTATGCTCATGGTATAAAAGGGACTATATACGCAGCAGATGACACTACGATATTCATAAAAGGATTCTCTTATGATGGTACGGGTCCTGATGCACATTTTTGGGCTGGTAATAGTTCTAGACCAAGCCCTGATGGTTACATCGTACCTTATCCTGAAGATTACAAGGGCAGGTATGTCTCTTATGTTTTTACAAATATAAGAAACCAAGGTATTCACACTTTAATGGTCGCTCACACAACATTTGTGTGTGATATATATTATAATAATATATTATATAATTATTATATTTATTTGTTGTTGTTTTTTGTATATTAATTTTTTCGTGAATTTAACAAAGTTTTTTTTTTTTTAATTAATTTTTCAATAATATTATATTATACCGGGCCCCAGGTGAAATTTGACTGCATACACGTGCGGCCATTGAAGTGTTAACAAAAAAGTAAAATTAGAAAATAAAATTAGTTCGAATAGTAATACAATTATTTCTTACAATTCTACGTATAATGATATCATCTTAATCTTAATCTTCTTCTTCTTCTTCTTTTTTTATTTTATTCTTCATCATCTAAACATAAGGAGACACATAGGATATACATACACGTGAGGACGTATAAGTATGTAAGAGTTGCATAAGGTTGATGATTCGGGAAGCTTAATAAAGTGCTCGCAGAAACGAGAAATCCGGACGAGATCGGCGTATAATTCCCGTTTTATTAACTGCTAGGATCCCCAGTTCGCGATTCATTCGTCCGGTTCGTCCCTCTTTCCGTTTCCCTTTTGAAATACTTCATCCCCTCCCACTTTCTCCACTCCTTACAATTTCCCCGATTCCCCTCTATCCATTTCTATCCTTCCATATATATATATATATATTTCTATTGAACACAAGTATATGCCACACTTTCCTTCTTAGGTTCTATGCTACCAGAGCACAACAAGTTCTTTGAGTTTCATTTCGTTGGTTGGTTGGTTACAGACACCATCACGTTTACCCAACACTACTACTATTACTAGTACTACTATTATTAGTACTAATACATATAACTATGATTTATATTAGATTACTATTACTACTTTGATTACTTTTACATTACTACTTTTACTAATACCAACACATTTGATGACAATTAGTACTATCAATATTACTATTATAAATAATTAATATATTTTTGCAACTATTTTTAATAGTACTTTTTTGATTTATATTACTTTAAAACTTGGATTACTAATGTTGCAATCACAGGTACCATTTATTATTATTTCTATTACTATTGGTGCACTATTCTATAAACAACATTACCATAAAAAAGGTTTATTATAACTTTACATTACTACTTCTACTAATACCACTATTATAAATAATTACTATATTATTGCAACTAGTTATATTAAAATAGTATATTTTGATTTATATTACTATAAAGCTTTGTGTACTAATGTTGCAATCATAGGTACCATTTACTATTATTTGTATTACTATTGATATACCATTCCATAAACAACATTACCATAAAAAAAGGTTTCTACTATGAAAACAATAAGATTTAAATAGTCAAATAGAGTTTTCTGTAAAACAAAATAATTTTCAAATTAATAATATGCACTATATATTGTAATGATTAGAAAAAGTTACTAGCTTAATATGAAAAGTTGAAAAGTTTAGAACTGTAGTTAGCAAGATGATTGAAATGTTAAGACAGAAATGGGAATCGAAAAGTTTGAACGATAGAATCGATTTGTTGACAAGATTCGTAAGGAAACCTTTGTAAAACCATCATCAATGTTAACTTTGTCCTTTCAATTACTATTTGGAAACCTTTGGTCAAATATATCCTCCTGACCATATATCCGTAACTATCATTTTGTTCTATCCTTCTCAGGTTCGTCAAAGATGTTTGCTTTTTAACACGTACGGTCACCATTGTCAATGAAAATGATTAAAGTTTGTTAAATCGTTTAAAAGTTCAACTTGAATGGAAGTTAGATCAAAGCTACCTTTGTTCCATACTTGATTTATTTTTGTTTGTTTTTTATTTTCTTTTGTTTCGTTTTTTGATTAATCAACTAACTGTTTAATTCTGATAAAGTAAGAAATACAAATAAAATTGTGTAAGCTGGTCAATTAAATTTGTTTAATTCATATTATTCTAAAATTATAAACAATTACAAATTAATTGACAAATATATCATTGTATATAATTATATACTATATAATGCATAGTATAATATATATTATATATTAATTATAATATATATAATGTATAGGATCAAGGGTCTGGTTACGTTTAGTTGTTGGTTCTCCAACGATCAACAAAGTCAAGCAGGTTTAGTTACGTTCAGTAAATGGATGGGTGACTCTGCTCGTTCGTTATTGTGTTTTTGATTGATCTCTTTTATTATTATATATAATGTATAGTATAATATATATTATAATATAATATAATTATAAATATAGTAAATAATTATATTAGTATAATTATATGAAACGAATGTTTGTTTATTTTCAAGAGATCCACCAAAGTTGGAGGCGTACGACAATACCGACATTGTTTTAAAGTTGCCACAAGGGAAACGTTTGCGCGACATACAATGGCTGAGCGTTTGGTGCAGGAGATTTACCGTAAGTCCATTTCAATTATTATATTACATCGTATACTTGAAAAAAAAAATAAAATTAATACTACCAACGTTAAAAAAGAAAAGAAAAGATAAACTCAGCAATAATGAAACAATCAACCCCTCGTTAATAAATCTGACAATCGTACAAAAACGTATCATCATCATCAACTCGTTAAATCTCTCATCTCTAAAAGTAAAAAAATAAGATTTGAAATAATAAAGAAGAAGAAAAAAAGAAAGAGCAGTTAGAGTAGTCGTTTAAAAAGCGAGGGTTGGCAACACACACAAAACCACCACCACCATCACCATCACCACCCCCCATAGAACAGAACAGAACAGAGGAGCCGGTCCTTTATTTTAAGCGTCGCGATGCACGGAGAATGGAGATAACTTGATTTTTCGCTAGAACAAGAATCAAAAAAGAGAAATAGAAATAGAAAGAGAGAAAAAGAGGGTAGTAGAGATGGTCGGTCGGTCGTCGGTCGGTGGGCCCTACTATCGGATGGGCGCATTCGTGGTCAATGGTGCGTGTGAGATGGATACGGAAGCTAAAGATGAAGGTTTAACGGTGGGGGGAGTTACGAGAAGAGGGGTTGGATATAAGAGGGGTGTAGGTGTAGGTGGTTGTACTGAGAGAGAGTGAGAGAGAGAGAGAGAGAATGAGTTTGGTAGTAGTACAGCAGTCATGACATAATCGTAGGCTAAAGGAGAGTGTGGGTGGGGGTTGATGGAGGGAAGGGGGTTAGTAGTAAATGTGCAAATCCGTGACTATATATGTGTGACCATGTATGTGTGTATATTCGCGAACACTTTGGAGGTTTTAAGGGGGTGTTGTCCTGGGGTGGTTTGGTGGGTGGTTCGTTGAATGGAGATTCGAGGGGTAGCTTTGAGACGAGCATATCGAGCTTTTCAGAGATAGAAAGAGAGGGAGAGAGGAAGGGAGGTTTTGCTCTTATATTAGGAGGGCTTTAATATCGAACTCTGAGAAGGGGTGCTCCCGTACCGTGACAACCCTCCATCAGACACGCTCTGTCACCGCAAAACGCGCCCGTTGTCCATCCTACCTAGGGACCCTAGATTCTCTATCTTTTTTTCTTTTTTTTTTTTTCTTTCTTTTATACCGGGTGTCTCTTTGACGATACATACATATTATATTATACGTCAAACTACCTTTTGCTTTATATATATATATATATATTACCTTTAACGATTATCTCGGTTATATATCGTATAAAGGGGTGATAGTTGTGTGTGTGTGTGTGTGTGTCAACTATTCGTGACTATAGACATTTTCTATAGATTTGTTATTCTTTATTTATTTATATTATTATTTTATATTTGATAGTGATTTTTTTTTATTTAATGAATACAAATTATTATTTATTGATAATGGTATTCAATGCGTGATATGCGTATTTTTTAAACGATCACATTGAACTAATCGAAAATATATTGATTTTGAAACTAATAGATATGATATTCATTAAATAACTTTAATTGTTTTATTATAATGTAATAAAAGTTTATTGAATTAAACAACTGACAAATCGTAGGAAAACGATAGCTCTTTTCCTTTTTTTTATTTTTTTTTTCTTCTTGATAACTTTAAACTCTTCCACTCGACAATTCTTATTAAGAAAGAATGAAATAGAAAATGAAACAAAAAGAAAGAGAGAAAGAGAGAGAGAGAGAAAAAGAGAGAAAGAGAGAAAGAGATTTTATTCTTAAGTCTCTCGTTTAAAACTTTTTCTTTAATAGGTTTTCTCTGTGAAACTTTTGCAAGAGATTTGATGCCTCTCTTTCACTCTCTCTCCCTCTCTCTCTCTCTGTCTCTTTCTCTTTCATTTTCTCTTTCTCTTTTACTATGTTCAAGTGGGTATTATTAAGAACATTAATGTTTATTTCTTCTCTTCTCTATTTCTATCTCTATGTTTGAAAATTGATAAAACTGAGATACCACCAGAATAATATCTAGTGACCTAATAACATTTTATTTATCTTTCATAAGAAAAAAAAAAAAATAAAATAAAATAAAAAAAAAGAAGAAATGATGAATCGAAAGAGAAAAAACAATAACTAAATACATATATAATTTTTTATTTATAAAATATAAAATTAATATATTTATAAATATATTTTATTTTTAATTTAATAATATAATACTTTAATTTTTATTATGAATAAAAATTCTATAAATAAATTATTTAATATGTGAAAAAAGTATAAATAACTATAAAATAACTAAATAAATATATATATATATATACATTTAATTATAATAATTATATATAGATTTTTATTATTACTTTATAATAAATTTAAAATATAAACCAACAACAAATTAATACAATATTAAATAACCTATCATCAAAATAGCGATTAAAAACTTAAATAATAATAATAATCCTTTACGATCGTTTGACCGATCCAAAAAAAATAAAAAATATAAAATAAACGAACAAAAACACAAACGGCAAAAAAAAAAAAGAAAAGAAGGAAAATAGAGAACAGATACAGATGATAAAAAAAAAAAAACATAACAAAAGAGATAAAAAGAGAAAAAGAGAAAAGGGTAGTAGTAGTAGTAGTAGTAGTTTGAATCATATCGAAGGGTGAAAACCTGAAAACCGATACACAAAGGGATAGGTGTAGCTTTTGCTTGAGTATTTGGTAGACAGGAACTGTCTGTCAGTCAGCAACTCTCCCCCTCCTCTTCCTCCCTCCCTCCTACCCCTGGGTTTCCAAAGTTACCACTCTCTCAGTGAATGTATTGTCAGAATAAACCTTATCCCTATTTTTTTTTCTCTCTCTCTCATACTTTTCCCTTTTTCTTTTACTTCGTCTTCTTCATCTTCGTCTTCTTCTTCTTCTTCTTCTTTTTCTTTTAGCATTTCTTTCTGAGAACCAACCCCCTAACTCACACCCTTATTCGAGACTTATCGTCTAGCATTGCGAATCCCAGAGCTTTCTCGAATCCATCGGGGGCTGAGGGTTTGGGGTGGGGTAGGTAGGTGGGGAGGGAGGGAGGTTGGTTTCCTTTTCAAAAGGAACAGAGATATCCTTCAACGATATCAAACCACCGTTCAATAGACCACTGATTCAGATAGGATTTAGTAATTTTTTTTTCTTTTCTTTTTTATTGTACCACCACCAG